ATGATGCCAATCTTGATTTTAGACAGGCGAGGGCAGCAGAGAGCTAGGCTGCAAGCATCAGGAAGAGGCCTTCCTCTCAGGACAAGTTAAGGCAGACCACTCCAGACATCACACCAGGAGGCAGGGCTGACAGGGAAACAGTTCAGGAGCAAGGCAGGACCTGCTGGTTGAAGCACAAATGCTAGGGAGTGGCAGGAAGTAGTCCCCAGGTGCTGCCCCAGGAGGCAGACTGGGACTATGGTCCTAGGGTCCCCCTGGCAGGCCTTTTTAAGGAAGCAATTAACTCTTAAGAGGAAGATTGACAGGTCCATCAGGAAAGAAAATAAAAATCCTCACTCTAGTCCTATCTTTCAAGTTCACAGCAACATCTCTGGAAGATCCCCTTGCAAGTGCCCACTTGGAATCCTCTGATATTTGAGCAATACCAGGTGATCTGATCCAATTCCCTCTCTCGCAGAACTTTCTTTTCATGTATTTTATCTAACCAGATCTCTGTTCCTTTCATGAATGTGTTAAGGACTAGGAGGGAAATTAGGTAACCTAAAGCTGTAGTCACTTGCAAGGATCACACCGAAGAGAAAGGGCAAGTAGACTCTGTCTTTCATACAGGCTCTAGTATGAAAATCTCAGCTCAGCGCCCATAGCTAAGTGGTTAGGGCACCAGCCACACGCACCAGGGCTGGTGGGTTCGAACCCGGCCTTGGACTGCTTTAAAAAAAAACAGCTTGGTATTAGTTCAATGAGTAGGACACCATCCACATCCACTGAAGCTGGCAGGGCAGGGTGGCCAACTCAGAAAATGCAGAACCTGGCCGGGCACAGTGGCTTATGCCTGTAATCCTAGTACTCAAGAAGACTGAGGAAGGCGGATTACTTGAGCTCAGTTTTGAAACCAACATGAGCAAGAGCAAGACTCCATTTCTACTAAAAATAGAAAACTATCTCGGCACCTGTAGCTCAAGTGGCTAGGGTGCCAGCCACATACTCCAGAGCTGGCAGGTTCAAATCCAACCTGGGCCCACCAAACAACAATAACCA